ATGCAAGACGTTTTAGAACATGCCCAGCATTGCTTTTACTACAGCCGTTGGTTTGGTGCAAATGGAAGTTGAACATCTAGTAACTTCCTATTTTTTGCTGCTAATGCCCTCCCCCATCCTAATTGCACACGGCTTCACCTTTTCTTGCCTTATGTCTCCAGTTTCCCTGTTTTAAAAAACAAAATGGGGGGACACACACAGATGCACAATAAGAATATTTCAGACCCAGAGAATTGGTTATGTAACTAGTGCCCAGCGCAATTAATTCTGCCTCTCCTAGGTTCTTCAGCAACCCAGCTTCCGTATCCCCCTCTAGATAACTAGATGATAATGGACATGAGCATGACCACAGCCCTTGTAATTTTCTAGAGCAAAAGCTTGGTGTAGAGGGGAGGAATCTTTATAGTATGCTAACAGATGGAGCTGTGCTTGGGTCTCGCTGATTTCCCAGTTGGACTGCCCGTTCCTTTTGTGCAGGCTTTGGAATTTGTGGTCTGGTGTTTAGTGTCACATTTCTCACATAGTCAGTGCTGGCATTGTGATTTGCTACGTGGCTGTCTGCTCTCCTTATGTCGTATTTCGTGGTGCTGTAGCATTCAGCTTTGGTCATCAGTTCATGATAATTGACATCTTTTTGTGATCTGGGAGCGCATGAACGCTATTGGTATTGGTCTTAGAACTGTACGTTCAGATTTGTTGCCATCGTCTGTTCTCTGCTCATCATATCCCTCTATCCTTCCCAGGCTGATTTTATTTGAAAGCTGAATTTGGATTCTGTCTGTGCCCTTTGGGCTGTGAAATCACTTACTCCTAGAAATTTATCTGTCATCAGAGCATCTCACGTCGTCTTAGAGCTTCAACTGTCTCTCTCATGCCTTTTGAGGACCAGTCCTTCCTGGAGCTTAACCTGGCATTTCACAGGTAACTTTAGAACAGAACAAACAAACTACTGTTTTCAAAACCGGAAACTTTCATCTTCCCCTTCAAGGAAAAGGCAAGTGAAACAAAAAAAACACTATCTCTCTTTTACTCCTTAACATGGTTACTGACCTGACCACTGGGTTCCACTCAGAAATGTCAGTTACCTTTGTTGTTCTTTCTCTTTGATCTCTTTCAGTCTTGTCAAAAAAGAGGTGTTGAACTTCCTTCCTGTTCCCCTTCTCCCTGTTTCTGCTGCTCCCAGGCCTTTACCAACTCTTGTCTCGGTTAGGGAAGTGACTTTGTCTTATTTTACTGGCAGTCTCTGTGCCTACCCATCCTCTGGACCCAGCTTCCAGGATTACTGTTCTGGAGTGTGGATTTGACTGTACATTGACCGCCTGGTACGCTGGATGATCCCCTGAATCTCCTACACTAAAGCCCACAATTCCTTTAGTGTTATATTTAATGCTTTGCACTCTGTGCCTCTAAATTCCTTTTCCAGCCTTGTTCCCCACCCGTGAACTTCTTGTTCTAATGAAATTTGATTTCGCACCACACCAATGCTGTGCTATTTTCCTGTGTTTTTTGCACATACTGTTTCTCCTGCCTTACTGAATCCTACTCCTCTTTTGAGGCTGAACACTTCATAAAGCCCTTTTCAACGTTGTTACTCTGTCCCCTTTACTACCACAGCCCTTCGTGCGTGCACTTGTGCAGCATTTATATTGCCTTATGTATGGTACCTTGTGTTTGTTTTGTGGGCTGCCTTATGGGCAGGCAAAATCTTTCCTGTGTTGTGTGCTCACTGTTTAAAATAGCATTTGAGGGGCGCCTGGGTGGCTCAGTCAGTTAAGCGGCCGACTTCGGCTCAGGTCACGATCTCACACTCCGTGAGTTCGAGCCCCGCGTCGGGCTCTGTGCTGACCGCTCAGAGCCTGGAGCCTGTTTCAGATTCTGTGTCTCCCTCTCTCTCTGACCCTCCCCCGTTCATGCTCTGTCTCTCTCTGTCTCAAAAATAAATTAAAAAAAAAACAAAAAAATGTTAAAATAGCATTTGACATTAGAGATACTCAGAGAGGAAGCCCTCACGGTGTTTATAATGAATCTGGGTCATGGTAGATACTTGAGTACTTAAAAGTGGTCGTGGAATGAATGGACAATAGAACAAGCGTCTCAAATATATGAAAATGTATTCTGGTCTGTAAATAGCCATCATTGTCTTATTTTTCCTTTTCTTTCACCGTTCCTTCGTATCCTTGTGAGAAACCTGCATCTCCGTCCTTGTGCACTGTAACAAGTGAGTGCTGTCTCTCCGTGGGGAGCAGGTGTTTGTGGGGCATGAGAGGATCTGAGGAAGATGAAGCCTGGGGGCCTGGGCCTTTGGGGTTTAGGGAGAAGCAGGATGTGGCGGTGGGAGGGACCTGTGTCATAGGAGCTAGACCCGGAGTGTTTTCTTTCTGTGTTTGTTTCTTGTAGTGCTAATGGGGACAAACTGTTTTGAAGTTTTTCCATTTTGAGCTTACCGTATTTAGTGATATTTTCCTTTCAGCTAACATTTCCTAAATACTTGCTTGTTATTAAATCTCTGGTTATGACATTTCAGTGAGTAAAAAAAAAAAAAAAAAAAAAAAAAGTGATCCAGAAATTAAACCTGAAGCTGCTTTTTTTTTAGAAGCTGCTTTAAACCTTTCTGATTATGGAAGGCAGACTGTGACAGTAGAAAGAACACTGCCCCTTAGGGAGTCAGAAGAACTACGTGCCGTCACCTGCAAGCCGCATTGTGACTTGAAGCAAGCCTTGTCTGAGCCCCCCGTGAAATCGTGGCCCTGTCGTAGCATTGCGTGAAGTTCCAGTGGGCATGTGTGAAGGAACTTCAGCAGCTACGAAGCACTTAGAAGCTGTGAGGTGTAGGGGAGGGTTTCGGAGCCAAGGAAGAACCAAACTTTTATTGAGGGAAACAGCGCAGTGGTTGTGCATTTGTTAGTTTAGTCGCAGTCACTCATGGAACAATATGTGCTGGGTGCAGGGCTGAGTGAGTCCCTCCTTCCTCCCTCCTCCCCCTAGAATACAGACCTTTCAGTCCAGCAGGGAGGACCTGTTAACGTACAGTTGGTGATAATATAGTAGCGATAAAATAACGGCAGTAGTGGTACAATTTGCCTACGAGACATAAGAAGTACGTAGTTATGTGAATAATTGTTACCAGTATCTCAAAGATATGAGGGGGGTGGTTTTATCACTGCAGGAGCTTGCTGGCTCGAATGAACACTTTCTGCAGTGCTCAAGTTGGGGAGGTAACTCCGTTAACTGTGTTTAAATTGGGTCCTTAGTTGCAGTTTGAGCTGTGAACCCCTGTCGTCACACCGCAGCACACCCCCGCTGCCTCCATCAGAAGCCCGAGAGGGAAAGTGCCCACCTGTCCGTCCTCACAGAGCCCCTCCGAGAAAAGCGGAGGCTCATGGGGAGCCAACACGAGGTTCGGGGATGCAGTGAGTTAGTAGCAGGACTGCCCTCTGTGGCTCTTGTTCTGAGCAGTCTCTCCGGTCAGGTACCTTGTACTAGAGAGTTACCTAGATTTGTTTATTTTTTTTTTTTTAATTTTTTTTTAATGTTTATTTATTTTTGAGACAGAGAGAGACAGAACATGAATGGGGGAGGGGCAGAGAGAGAGGGAGACACAGAATTGGAATAGATTTGTTTATTTTTTTAAGCAGTTATTTCGCAATCTTTTCCTCCAGAAATTGGAGGCACTTAGTATCTTCATCTTGTCCATTGAGGTCTGTAACCTGCAAGTTTTAGAGGACTTTCTGTTATCATTTCTGGTTAGTAATGTAGAGGAAGAAAGAAAGTACTTCATGTTAATTTCGATGATCCTCGACCGGTTAAAGTAGGTTTGGCTGCAGTGACAGGTCCAAACATGTAAGGACAATCAGAGTTCATTTCTCCATCTTCTAACAGTCTGAGGTGGTTTCACTTTGTGCGTGCGTGTGTGTGTGTGTGTGTGTGT